TCCTAGCTGAGCATATTTGAAGCTATTCTTGCTACATATTTTATTAAAAGATATAGACTAGCACAGACTCATTTAATTCTTAATTCAGTAAATTCCTTTTGCATTTATAGCTAGCTTTGTATGAAGCCCTGAGAATAACAGGCTGAGACACAGTCCCTTAAGAAAGCATTGTCTAGTAGGAAAAACAAGCAAGTCAGTAAATAACTGGTTTTCTAGAACTGTATGAATTGGCAGGGCATGCTTTGTGTAGCGGATCACCTGGGAGTGAGGACCCAGCACTGGCTGAGATAGGGCCAGAGATAGAGAACAGAAGGTAGACCATGAAGGGCCTTACATGCCTTACATGTCACATAACCAATTCAGTTTTGTGAATAGAAAACATTAGAAATTTTTAAGCAAAAGAATATGATCAGACTTGTATTTCAGCAGTTGAAAGGTGGTAAGTTGAGGCAGAGGACAGTTAGGCATTTACTGTGGTTATCTAGAAGTGTTGATGAGAGTTGGTAATGACAGTGTTTTGAATACAAGTAATGTTAAGAGAGTAGAATTGACAGGGATTGTTAATTAATTGGCTGTGAAGGCCAAAAGAGATGACAGAATCTAAATTTATTATCAAAGTTTCTGGGTAGTAATACCAATTACTGAAAGAGGAAAGACCAGAGGAGGAACATGCCTGGCTGTGATGATGAAGTTTAGCTCTGCACATCCTGTTTTTGAGGTGGATATAAGGAGTACAGTGTGTACCACGTGGGGCTAAAGTCCAAAAGAAAGGTGCAGAGTTTGTGAGGTGTCTCTGTGGGGACAAGTTGAAAGAAAATATGCGAGAGGGGAGAGAAAGGGAGACCATTTGAAAAGAATAAATTAACTTTGAAAAGCTTAATGAACATTTTCTCCTCCAGGTATGAAGAAAAGGGGAGAAGATGGTAGTAGTCATAGATCCATTTGTGTGTTAGAAGATAGGAGCTTAGGAGCTTAGGCCTTTTATACTCTTCTCCCTCTCCTCCCACCTTCTTCCTTTGTTCCTTTCTCCTTCCCATGTGCCACTGCCTCCTCCCCTCTTCTCTTCCCTTAAATATTTGCTTTATGTAAACAATTTTAAGAGTCAGTATTGTTCACTATATAGTGATAGTGCTTTCCTTTGAACTTTTTCAAATATGTCCTATAAATATTAGAACTGCTTCTAGGGCCTTTTAATACAGCAAGATATAATTGAAGGCAAATATGGTAGATGTATTTTGTATTCATGTATGAAAGTAGAACAATGAAACTTGTTGAAATTGTTCTAAAAGGGGGGATAAGGGAGAATGATGTAGGGGACGAATCTAAGATATTGTAAGCGCATATATAAATGTCACAACATATCCCCTCTGTACAACTATTTTTGAATAAAATTCAAAAATAAAAGTATAAAAGTAAAAAAAAAAAACCAAGATATAATTTATGGTGGTAAAGAGTTAACTATTATTAAATCTAAATGTGATGTAACTAAACTTTTATGTCCACAGTTAGAAATGAGATAAGGCAGTCACCTTTGGAAGTACATGATTTCAGGAGAGCAAAATAGAATCTTGAAAGATTCATGTTATTTTTCTTTGGCTTACAAGGGTCATGTTATTTTTCACTGACATTAGGTTATTTAGGCTCTGTGTTCCTTTATCTTTCAAGTAAACAGCATTTAGGATTATTTGAAAGCAACAGTAAAAAGTAAAATTCAGTAAATTTACAGAAGCCTTTTTTCTTTTTTTTTGTTCTGTGGTTTGAACTCAGGGCCTCACACTTGCTAGGCAGGCGCTCTGCCATTTGAGCCACTGTGCCATCCCTTTGTTGTGTTGAGTATTTTTGAGATAGTGTCTCAGGAACTTTATGTCTGGCCTGGCTTTGAACCGCAATCCTCCTGAGTATCTAGGGTTATAGGCATGAGCCACTGGTGCCTGGCCTAAAAAATTATTTTCTTATGAGATGTGGAAAGCCATGTGTTAGGTGGTTAGTTATGGTTTATCATTGAAAATATTAAAGCTTAGTATGTCTTACTATTACAGTTAATTATTCTGTTTCAAGGTTTTATATATATATATATATGTATGTATGTATACACACATAGGTAATGTTTTGCTAATTATAAAGACAATGTGTAATCATTGTAGATAATTTAAAAAATACTGAGCATTTTGTGTGGAGGACACAGAAATTACAAATAATTTCTGAAATCCCACTAATCCCCAAATACCCTCTTTTTTCTATGTGCACATTAAAAATACATTTATTTCTACACAAATAAAATCATACTCTATCTGCAATACTAATCTTTTTCTCCTTATACTCCTCAATAGTATTGAGGGAGGAGGAAGCCCAGTATGTTTTCAGTGATTAAGACAGGCTTTGAAATGTAAAGTCCAATTTCAAAATTCATACTTTAAAAAATAAAATGCTCTCTAGTCAGCCATAGCCATAGCAGAAGAATACTTAAGAGCATGTTTGATATGTAGAAGATAGATCCAAAAGATAAACATATACCCAAAACCAAACATACTCATATGCAAATTTATATGTAAAACATGTTTGTAATAGTGGAAGTACTATGTGGCACTTGGGGGAGGAGGAAAAGGAAAAAAGAATGATAGAACCTTAATAATATTGAAATACATCTTATGGGTAGAGGATATAACAATATGTATTATAAGCTGTTTAATAATGGGGGGGTGAAGAAAAGGTAGGGGAGAGTAATAAAAGGGGTTAAACTGACAAAAATAAAGTGCACTCACAGTGGGAATACTTCAAGAATCCCCTTTGAACATTGATGTAGGAACTAATAATGAAAGATAGGACTATAAAATAGGTACACTGTTTGAGGGGTTCTTGTTGGTTGAGGGGAGGGTGAATGAAGGAGATGAAAGTGAGGGAATATGGTTGATGGACTTAATATACATATATGAAATAGAATGACCTCTTGCAGTTTTAAGTAATTTAGAGCTAATATTAATCCTTAATGATTAGAAAACTTAGGCTGATTTTTATGTTGTCGTACGTGGAATACCTAATCACTATAGGTTTTCCCATTTATTAAATAAAAGCCTGCAATGAACCAAGTTATAGATGATTAGTGAGTATTCACAGTGCTTAGCCTTGACAGATGGAGTGTTCTGTGTAGTGACCATTGTTACTAAAGTTTTGTGGGTGTGTTTCATAGCATTGTATTCCTAGACAGGCCTGCCTGAGTTGCCTGTCATCATAGTGTTGTTATTACACCTGAAACTTACCAGAGCCACTCAGCAACCTGTTCAGTAAGCAGCCTTACTGTTTCTGGCAAGGTTCAATAATTACTCTGTTACTATAGGAAATTTAAACTAGCAAAACCATGAACTGTGAAGAATCATCTTAGAATAATGAAAAGTCATGATTGGTAGTAGAGTAAGCAATCTTAAAGAAAAATAGAATGTGGTGGTCTCACATTGACTTGAGAATAGAATCCCACATTTTGCACTGTAGATTTCTGTTTCCTGTCAGAACATAAGCAGATAGAAATCTTACCCAGCATGTTTTCATTTTCTAGTCCATTCCAGGAAATGAAACTATATGAAGTGGAAGATTTTAATCATCGAATATATTTAATGATAGGAAATTCTATGAATGTACTTATGTAACTTTAGTTATAAATCAAGTCTGGTAGGATTTTAGATAACTTCTCTAAAGATAATCCTGCTAACTCTTATGAGTTTTTAGTTATATTTATATTCTTCAGAAACCTTAAAAGTGCTAACCAAAATTATAGTTGACTTGCCTGCTCCTGATTTGCCTCTTATCTGGGAAATACAGTTCTTAGTTTGCAGTGGTTTTTAGCACAAAAATGAGGGGAAGTTAAACCAATATTTATTGTGTACCTACCATGTGGCAGGCACTAGACCAGGTATGAGAAATGTATCTTGTCCATACAGGGCCCATAGTTTATTTGGGAAATGGAAACAAAAATAGAAAACTGCATTATAATATAATAAATGCTACAACAGGGAACTGGACTATGTAAAGAATTAAATACATGGTTCATGTACTCTATTAGAGTAGAAACTCTTGAAGGACAGGTTTTAGTGTATCTTAAGGTCTCCTATAGTGAGTTGCACAAAATCAATGCTTAGGAGATGTATGAATTAATTAGGAAATCTGATGGATAGACTTTTTCCACTATTATTAGAATTAATACTTTGAGGCATTACTACTAATTTGTCTTATTTTAACTTTTTTGTTGTTTCTGTGTATAATTTACTTTAAATCTTCTGAAGAGGTTGTTTAGATCTGGTACTCCAAATGTTGACATTGACTAAGAAAAGGAATTTCATTGTCTCTTGTTTTCAGAAAGTATATCATTATGCCAGTTCATTATAATTTTCTCTAACAATCTTTAATTACAGATACATCTCTTTTGCTAGGTAGAGTCATCATTTTCTTGGTCCCTATAATGAATAATTAAAGTAAAAGTATCAGTGCTGTTTTTGGCTAAGCAGTTTTCACTTCTTTTCAGGATCATCTTAACTGGAATGAGGGACACTACTAATAAATAAGATTAAAGCTACTTTAAATTTTTTTTCCTATATGTGCTATGTTGTCTTTATTTATGGTTACAAGTAGCAATTGACATGACTTTTAACAAAAAGAGTTTTGAGTTTTACCTGAGTAGAACCAAGTGAATCTTGTAAATTAATGTGGTTTATTTTGTTCTGAATGAATGGAATCTACACTATAAGCTGTTTTCATGATGTCTTACAATTTCATTATACTAAAACTACTTTTAAAATAGTGTCACTAATTTTAAACTTTTGTGTAAACAAATGATTTTTGAAAATCTTCACATTAAACACTTTTTCTTTAAATGTGTTGTTTTTGTTTTGCCTTTTAAATATTGCAATGGCTTATCTTTTGGTGTGGAAGTAACTTGCACCAACTAGACTCTCTGAATAGTGTCATTAGCTTACATGTTATAAAGTATAATTTCTTCTCATCTTAAATAGATTATCGAGGTTGGCCTTTGTGAAGTTTTTGAGTTGATCAAGGAGACACGGTTTTCTCATCCATCCCTGTGTCTGAGGAGTCTCCAAGCCCTGCTGAATGTGCTTCAGGGTCAGCAGCCAGAAGGTCTTCAGTCAGAGCCACCTGAGGTCTTAGGTAAAAGCTGATTCATAGAGTGAAGTATTCAAATCGCTTCTCTTACAAAGCACACACCTGTAATACAGTTTGTATTTGATTGTATTCAATTGGGTACTGAAGTAGCAGTGATGTAAGTTTATTTTGCTATGTTTCAGTGGAGTTAAGGTGGTTTTTTTTTTTTTTTTTTGCAGTACTGGGATGTGTGCTTTCTTGCTAGGCAGGTGCTGTACCATTTGAGCCATATTCTCAGATTGGTTTTATGGTTTAAGAGTTATGATTCATGCTGATTGTGGTGGCACATGCCTGTAATCTCAGCTACTTGGGAGCCAGAGATAGAAGGATCATGCCTCAAGGCCAGCCTGGGCAAAAGTTATTGAGACCATTTCTCAAAAACAAAGCTGTGTGTGGTGGCACACACTTGTATTCCCAGCCACTTGGAGACAGAGGTAGGATTGTGGTCTGAGGCTAACTTTGGCAAAAAGTGAGAGACTGAAAAAAAAGGCAAAGGTATGAGGGTGTGGCTCAAGTATAGGCCCTGGGTTCAAACCCCAATACTGTCAAAGGCTGAGGGGGAAGTTTTGTTTCACTCAAGGTGTTTTCTTGATTATTGTAGGGAAAAGCAAAACATAAATCTTAAGAATCTAGTAATAATTTCCAAAGCTTAAAATAACTTAAGTAAATTCTTAGTAAACCTTTGGCCAAAATAGAAGTATTCACTTTCTCTGACTTGTTATTCCAGATTGTTTAAAAAATAAGGAAAAAATACTGTAAACTTAAAATTGTATGATTAGTTTCTAAACAGTGGATTTTTTTTTGCATCCATTATAAATAAAAATCTACTTTTGTTATGGAGAAAGTTTCTGATTTAGTGGCAACTTTCATTAAATAAAAATGTTGACTTTTCTAAGTAGGACTCTAATAGCTCAGAAAACAACAGCAAAAATTGGCAAATTGGATTGTATAAAATTAACAAGCTTTTGTACAGCAAAGCAAACAATTACTAGGGTGAAGAGGCAGTCTAAAGTGCATTTAAATTTTATGGATGTTTGCCTTTCAGGCCCCGGACCCAGGTTTAACACATAATCCTGTAAATAAGAGAGGAGCTTTTACTTCTTACTACTGAAGAATAAAAATATACATGGAAGCATAGTTTTTAATTGGCTAATTGTTTTCTCTGATGCTAACCATGGGCCTCCAAGCAGTCTGGAATTTTCTAGGTCTTCCTGGTATTATAAGAAAATTCTCAGAAATACTTGAACTGTGGTTCTCAAGCATTAGCATATTTTAAGTCATCTGGGCTCCATCTCATTCAGTAGATTTGGGGTGGGTCCCAAGATTTTGTATTTGAAAGAAATTTGTACTTGATGCTGATGTTGCTGGCCTGAGGACCACATGTTTGTCTGGATTAGAGTTTGGTTCTTTCATTCTCCTCTTGACTGCTTGGATTTTGTTAGATCCACTTGTTGACATCCTAAATTACTTGAACCTAATGATATGTCTTTTGTTTTTTGTTTTTTGGTTAGATGTTATATGAGTTGGTGATTGTGTTTGATTTCATTGTTTTATTTTAGTACAAAAAGGGGATGCTGAGCATTAGAACAAACTGAGGATTTTTAAAAACAGCACACCTCCACACATACGGTTATTAAATACTATTACCCAATAAGAGCTGTCATACATTAAGAAGTAGGTGCTTTGTTGGTTACTTTTTATAGTAGCAACAGTGATCATCTTAATATTGTGATATGCTACTTGGCTTGACAGCATTATACTAAAGATTTGATTTATTTTATTTAAGAATATTGTGCTGTTTTTTCTTAGCTCTATTTTTTCATGTAACAAATACATAAAGTATCCACTAAAGCCCGTTTATTGTATTTCTTTCTTTGAACCCCCATGTCAATCATTAGTTTTTCTTATGTCTTCTTCCATTCTGTTATTTCCTATACACTTCCTTTGTATCCATTCTTCACGTAAATACTCCTTTTCCTTTATTCTTTTAAAAATAGATCTTGTTCTCAATATTAATTGTTGAAATTATGATGCATGCTTTCACCTAATCATTCTCTATTAAAGCTTTCACCCTATTAATTTGTTCATTTTTATTTTCTTGTTAGAAGTTTCAAATGCTTCTATACTTTATTTGATTTTTCTTTGGTCTTTCCATTGCTTACTTCTGATTTCTTCACTTTTCTGACTTTATTTTTCTATCTAAGGGATTTACTATCTCTTTATATTTAATTTTGTTTAATTAACTCAAAGATGTAAATAGTAATTTGACTAATGTTAAATTAGTGTTGACACTTGCCCCTACTTTTTCCTATTGCTCTAATGTCACAATTTCATTAGTTTTACTCTCTCCCAATTTGGTTATTTTCAAGTTGCTCATGAAAAAATAGGTGTATTTATATTACTTTTACTGTTAGAAAATATTGATGATTACTTACTACACACCAATCCTCTTTTTGCCAATGGATTTTGATTTTTAAAATATATGTTTAGTCATTTCCTTGTATCTCTCTTTCTGTACAACTTAGTGTTAGAATAGATGTTTTCAAATATTCACTTAAATGTAATAGCACCTCCTATGTTCTTTATAAGGTCTTTTATTATAGACCTTAGCATCAGGTGTTTGGGCACATGCGTAATTGCAAATGTGGATTAATAGTATGGAGGAAAGTAGAGTTCTGAGAATCATTAACAGGCTTCCTTGAAGATGTGACATTTATGATTCAAAGAACAAATAGGAGGGAGTGACACGTTATAAAGGTCCCAGGCAGAAAGGACATAAGAAGGACAATGACTGAAGAAAGATTCACAAGGCTAGAATGTGGACAGTAAAAAGAGGTGTAGGGCCTTGCTTAGTGTGAGTGAGGAAGGAGGCAAGGGCCTATGAAGTTTTATAGGCCATGTTAAGAATATTGGTTATAGTGCTAAGAGGAAAGGAAAGTCATTTTCTATCTCCTTACAGATTTAAAAAAATATTCTTTTTCTTATAGCATTTATTTTCTGAAATTATTCACTTAGATTATTGACAGTTTTCATCCACTTGAATCTAACTTTGTCTTGTTTGCTAATGTCCTTCATAACCTAGAATAGTTCCTCATGTACAGGGAGAATTCAGTACATATTTGGTTAATAATTAACAGGTGGAATAGCTGAAGGATAATGATTGGAGGTAAGATGGACAGAGGAGGGACATATTAAAGGTTGGAGAGAAGTAAGGATAGTTGAAGAGAAAGGCAGAAGAAAGGAGAGGTGGGAAAAAGACGAAGGGAGGGAAGAGGAAGGAAAATAGAAAGGAGGAAAAGGGAGAGGAAAGAATTAATAAGGAGTGAGTGGAATTTAACTAGAACACAAAATTTTAGGTTTGAAAATTCTCTGGCTATAAGTGGGGAAAAGTGAATAGTAGGAGATAATTTGTGAACTTTTTTAGTAGTTCTGTTAAGAGATTGTAATAGCATGGCTTGGGAAGATGGCGATGAGGTAGAGAAAAGTGAAAGAACTAATTAGAAAGTGAAATATTCAGGACTTCATTTGGAATTAGATATGGAAAATAAGGGATTGGTAGTGGATACCTAAGTTTCTGTGAGTTACCGAATTAAACTGCAGGTGACCTTTTGATTTCCTGAGAATTGCAGTGCATTAATTCTCTTTCCTTTGTGTTCTTCTTTTCTACCCTTTTCCTTCTCTTTATCTTCCTAAGTGTTTCTTTCTTATTCTGACTCTATTTTTTTTCCACTCTACTTATTCACCCTTTTAAGGATTTTCAAATCTCCTTTCCCTTTCTACTAAAGAAGTATTTTCTGCTGATTCAGTCTTGGGTGGAGTTGTTTAGGGTGCTCTGTGTGGAGACCTCTGCTGGTCATGAGACATTCATGTATTGTTTTCTATCTTTGCCACTAAATGGCTTTATGATTTAGGGAAAGTCTTTCAACCTCTCTGTCTTAATTTTATTACTTGTTAAGGGGGAAGCATAGCTGTCCTATGACCTTAGAGATTTTTCTAGGATATAAATGAATCATATATCACTCTATTATTGTGAGCTATTGTTATTAATCATAAAGTCAATTTTATATGAAAATATAGCATATTTTTATATTCTCTTGTCTTGCAAAATGCACATAACTTTCTAGATCTTTAACATTTTGAGAACCCATACTCCTCTTGATCTAAAAGCTCAATGAATGAATAGTCTGTTACTGGAAAGGATGAGTTTCGTGAACATGTGAACAGTTGTTTTAGATGGATTTCATTTCTTCATTACAAAAATAAAGGGTTGAACTAAATGTTCTCAAGGCCCTTCTTGTATAACTTACAGGGGAAAAGGGTAACCAGAAAGAAACTAGTACAGAATAAGTATTCTAAATGTCTTATATTTTGTTTATAGTGAGACAAGGTATAAATCAGTATATATGTATAGTGCTCTGTATGTCAAGTGAATGTAATTGAATCTTGTTTTGTCCACAGAATCTCTCTTCCAGCTGCTTTTGGAAATCACTGTTCGGAGTACTGGGATGAATGACAGCACAGGACAGTCCCTGACAGCACTGTCCTGTGCTTGTCTCTTTAGTCTGGTGGCTTCTTGGGGAGAAACAGGAAGGACACTTCAGGCCATCTCTGCTATCCTTACCAACAATGGTAGCCATGCTTGCCAAACTATTCAGGTATTTTATATTTGTAGCTGCTTAGAAATTTATAAGATACCAACTTGCAGTTTTATCTCAATTTCTGTCAGTAGAAGTCTTTGCTTTTTCTTATTCACTATGTAGTATTTTGATCAATCCAAGGCTAATATACAAGTAATGTACAGTAGTTGAGTCAAGATACATGTGTGTTTAACTCTGTAGTGTTAGCGATAATAAAATGAATTTTGGGAAAAACCCTTAAATCTTAACCTGGTTTTTGTGTAAGCACCATAGCCCTCTTTTTTTTTTTACATTATCTTGCTCTCTTCTCCCTCTTATCTCTTATTTTTCCCAGAATTTTCAAGTATGAAATTCCTTTATAGTTTTAAATATCTTTATTTCTAATAAAAGAAAACAATATGCCATCAATTTGCTTTATTTTTGATTGGTTGATTATGATTTTTTCATGAATTTGTTTCTTTCTGAATTACTTTAGGTATTCATCTAGCATTTTAAGCTTTTGATATCTGATTGTGGACTAAACTCTTTACCACTACTAGTGGTGGAAAACATAATCCGCCTGTCAGGCAGACTTCTGGACAGTTCTTGAGATTGAGAAAAGTGTTATTATTTTAAGGCCCAATTATCTGCTCTTTTCTGGTTCATTGGACGTTCCCCAATACAGGTGGATGGGGTTCCTCAATCCTGTCATTTGTAGGCCAAAAATAGCAAAAGGAGTATATTGGTGACTCACTCAACAGTCTTGAACGCTTGTCAACCATGAGTGATCTCCTTACTCCAGTTTTCTGTTCTAATTATTTTTCCCCTTTCTGCTTTGCTTATAATTCTTTTGTTCCTTTTTAAGGTGCTTTTAATTATTTTGAAATTCCCCTCATGCAGTAGTTTTCAAGCTATATTCTGTAAAAGTCTTTGAGGGTCTTGAAAATGTTTAATTTAAATATGTAATTAGGACATAAAAATACTTCTTAAGTTTTAGTAAAATAGCACAAATTTTAATAAAACAGCACATTCAGATTTAATACACCAAACTTGAATAGGACAGTGATTACAAATATATGAGCTTATTAGACTTTCACATGATCTGTTTTTAAAAAGATTATTAGCATAAATTAATTGTATAAAGGCTTTCATTATGATGTTTACAATTTGCATATAATATACATTGACCAAATTCACCTTATCAATAATTAGTCTTTTTAGCCACCTTGCCCCCTTGTGATCTATTTTTATAGACTTAGGGATGATAATTAAAGCCCATAGCAGGAGTACATGAACTAGGTTTTTGGATGGCCTCCCAGAGGATAAGAAGTGACATTAAAATGATGAGTTGGAAATCAACCACTCAAGTAGAAGGAAATGTTGGTGTTGGGGATATGGAGAAGGGATAGTCTATGTATCTGGTTGCTAAAACATGGAGGTGAGACAAAGAGAAGAATATTTGAAGGCTGAAAGTAGTTTAGTATAGTTATGCAGAGAGAGCGGACTCCAATACTATGCCCAACCATTAGGCTACATAAAACTACTAGATACTCTGATGAATCAGTGCTGAGTTTCTCTCAGGTACTGTCCTATTACTATATCATCCCCACCTCCTGCCAGAATGCCACATTGAAGCCCATTGTTGTTGTTGTTATTATTATTTGATTAGGATCCTGCTATGTAGTCCAGGTTAGCCTTGAACTCACTATCCTGCTGCCTTAGCCTGTCAAGTGCTGGGATTACAGGCATAGGTCACCACACCTGGTAAGACCCATTTTACCATGGATTACAGTACTCTTTATGACTTTGCCTCTTTCCATCTACCAACTTGATTTCACAAAACTATCTTGGCCTGACTGGGGTGAGGGAGAAAATTCTTCCCTGAGAATGTATAACTCGTAACATCTCAAATTGTTTGGGCATCCAAATATGTATTATCTGTCCACTCCCAAAAGGTTAACAGCTTAAAGTAGGATAGGATGGTAGGACTGTAGGGTGCCTTAGTGAAGGAGACTAAATTCCTTTTTGAGGAATGAACTCCAGATATCACAAGTATCCTGCAGGGAATACACTATTACATTTCACCTCAAGAACAGATTAGAAAAAACACGTGGGGAAAAGGCACCTCACTGAGAACTAGTGGAAACAGATATAGCATCTTTAATCCTGCCGTGTCTTTAGATTCTGAATTACTTGGACTTATTTTAATATGGTTAAAGTAATACAAGAAAATATCTTGTGGTTGGCTCATCACTGTAATCTCAGCTACTCAAGAGGCAGACATAGGGAGAGTTGAGGTTCGAGGCTATCCCAGTGAGAGACTTAGTGAGACTCCCATTTTAATAAATAGGCGAGATTTGGGGGCACACGACTGTGATCTCAGCTAGGCAGGAGTCATAGGTAGGAGGATTATAGTCCAAAATCCCAATTCTGGGCAAAAAATATGAAACCTTGTCCGAAAAAGTGAAAAAGGGATGGAATCATGGCTCAAGTGATACAGTGCCTGCCTAGCAAGCATGAGGCCCTGAGTTTAAGCTCCATTACCACTAAAAATAAACAACAAAAAAACCCCCAGATAATTATAATTAGAAAATTAAAGGATGAGTTAACTAGTGAATAAAACAGTTGAAGACAGAAGTAGCAAACTGAAAGATAAAAGAGGAAGAAATTATCTAGAATTAACTACAGAAAGATAGAGAAAATATAAAAGATAAAATAAAAATCGTGGATAGAGAATTAGAAAGTCTAATGTATTAATCTTGTCTGAGTTCCATAAGGCCATAATAGATTTGTGGAGATAGAACTCTAAATAATGGGCAGGATTGGTTAATGACGTGAAATCCTTAGGTAAGGAAGTCTAGTTTGCTGGAGATTTGTTTCTTATAGACAGCGTTCTAGTTGGTGCATTCGCTAGCGTGCCAAACATGATCATTCTGAACAGCTTATTTTCTTAGAAATAATATATTGTAAAATATATTTTGTCTGTTTTGTGTTTGAAGCATTTAAACATCCTTTTTATTTATTTATTCTTCTCTTTTGAATAGGTGCCAACAATACTAAATTCACTGCAGAGAAGTGTACAGGCAGTTTTGGTGGGAAAAATTCAAATTCAGGACTGGTTTAGCAATGGCATTAAGAAAGCAGCTTTAATGCACAAGTGGCCGTTAAAAGAAATATCTGTTGATGAAGATGACCAGTGTCTACTTCAGAATGATGGATTTTTTCTTTATCTGTTATGCAAGGATGGATTATACAAAATAGGCTCTGGATACAGTGGAACAGTTAGGGTAATGTGATTCCTATAGTTCTTGATCATAGCTGATTGAAAACCATACTATTGAATTGTGTTTTGTTTCTAGCTTCAGTTTTGGTGTTCTATCTAGTTTTGATGTAGTAGTTTTTTTTTTTTAAAGTTATAATTGAAACGTATTTTCATTGATTATTAATTATGAAATTGTTGCTAGACTAATTTTTTTTTCACTTTTCAGGGCCATATATATAATTCTACATCACGAATCAGAAACAGAAAGGAAAAAAAATCTTGGTTAGGGTATGCACAGGTAGGAGAATATCCTCAGTAAGCCAAACTTACCTTTTAAAACATGTGGTTCCAACTTGTTAAGTCAATAAAATTCTTCTATTCAAACAGAAATGGTGTATTTTTTACTAACATGGCTATAACTAATTGTATATTGTAGTGTAAAGAATGTTGGCTCAGAATTCATAAGACGTTCAATTCTAGGTATGGGCCTATTTCTTATAAGCTGTATCTCTTTGGGAACTTGAGTTAATTTTTTTGGTTCTCCATTATCAAGCTATAAAAAGGAAATAAAAATACCCTTTTTTTGGAGTTCTTGTTTAAGTGAACCTCTGGATAAGAATCAAAGGACACCTTTATGAATTGGGAATATAAATGTAATCAGGGCAGAGTAGGACATCTTGCCACATACTCTTCTATTCTAAGTCTAGATTCAGTACCTTGTAGGGAACAGTGTTTGGAACAGCCACCTGCAAGAGAAATGTGCAAAGAATCACAAAAGGAGAAAAAGAACTGCTCCCAGGCTGCTTTCTGAATGCTGTGATCTCATCCCTGGCCAGAGCAGCCAGTTGGAGTGCCAGCCTCTTACTAGGTCAGCAGTCAGATACATTACTCCTCCTCCCATGGAGAAAAGTAAATGAAAGACAAAAAAGGTCAGAAACGTTTATTTCTGTACTATACGTGCTTGAGAGACAAAGCTCAAGTTTTTTTGTGGAAGGATAAGGAATACAGACTTCTTTGCACCTCCTGTCTTGCTGAACTAACAGGATCTGTTGTCAACATGATAAGAGATATTTGAAAGTATTTTGAAAGCTAAAAAAATTATTATTGTTATGTAAAGAATACTGCTATATCAATTATTGAGGAAGTCTTGAAAATAAATTTTAGATCTCAAAGTAATTACTAATAATTGTCTTCTGAAACCCAACCTCCTAAAACCCAACCTGGTTTAAAATGTCTCATCAAATTTTTATTCACCAGCCTATACTGTTCTGTTCATTTTGAAATAGCAGCCTAAATATTTCAGTTATTTTTCCTCAAAATATTTTATTAAAGTAGCAGTGATCATTTCTGTTATTTACTTAGCAAGTAATGTAGTCATTATGAAGAAAATGCTTACATTGTCCTTTTCCTGTTTAGTGTACCTTATATATGTGTCTAGAACATGATATGTTAAAGTGATTCCCAGTAGTACATAGCTCCTCCTCTTATTAAAGTATTCCCACATTTTATATTTTTAATCTTTAATAGCTTTTAAGTAGCAATATTTACCTTAAAAATTCTAATATAGAGCCAAATGGCTGCTTTTTCTGCTGACGTTGGTAATGAAAAAATGTTTTAACATAGAAAAATTTTTGTTATCAGGGTTTCTTATTATATAGAGATGTGAATAACCACAGCATGACAGCCATAAGAATAAGCCCTGAAACACTGGAACAAGATGGTACTGTATTGTTACCAGGTATGTTTCAACTAGTCATATTTTTCTTCACAATTGCTTTTAAGAAATGTGCATGTTAGGCTATTTAGACATAAAAAGAATGATTGTCAAAGAATAGTCCTTGGTTACAAATGGGTTAAAAAACCTTGACATATAAAACATTTTGCAGTATCTGTAAAGATAACACACATGAGGACAACAGACATCAGAAAAGTAGTATAATGGGGCTTAATATTTGTTTTTAAATTCTTGTCCATTCTCATGGCATAGTTCCCTACCCTTAAGCCACCAACACTTTATTTTTAGTGCCCTTGGGATTGAACTCAGGCTCTTGCACTTGCTAGGCAGGTGCTCTCCACTTGAGCCATATCTCCAGCCCTTTTTGCTTTAGTCAATTTTCAGATAGGGTCTTACACTTTTTCCCTGTGTGGGTTTGGGATCACAGTCCTCCTGTCCACACCTCCTACATAGCTGGAATTACAGATATGTACCTCTACTCCCAGCTTGTTTTGTTTTGTGTTTTTTTTTCTCAGATTGTGTTTTGAAACAGTGTCTCATTATTATTATTATTTTGCTTGTACTAGCCTTGAGCCATGATTGTTTTATCTCTGCCTCCCAAGTAGCTGAGATTACAGGTATGAGCCACCATGCTCAGCCACTGCCAAGACTTGTTCAGCTGCTGTATTAGTGAGGTGATGTTATTTTGTTGCTCTTAATAAAAACACAGCTTTAATTCTCACATTGCCCAGTACAAAGAACTTTCTGGTTATTTTTGTTTTAATGGTATACTTGTTTTTTCCTTTTTAAAGTACTTTCACTGACAAACTTTCAGGTGGTTGGGAATTTTTAATTTTTATCCCATCATTTAAACTTTTTTATTGCTCTGGTATAATGCATTTTGGCCACAATTCATTTTGTTGTTGTACATAAATCACAAATCATTTGAATCGCTGTTGTCTAAATTCTAAGGCACTAGGTCTCAAGTTTTGTTAAATGTTAAGTGCATAAAATATTCTCTATTGTAAGGTCTTTAAGTTTGCTTACACTTTTGATACTTGCTAAAATTGTTACAGTAAACTCTTAAATGTTGAATGTATGTCAATAATTTCATGTTCAATAGCAGTATTACTTCTAGGCACTTGACTATCTGAACCTGAGACCTACTTCTAAAGATCACTTTGAGATGGATAATTGCTCCAGGCTGCTGCTTAATTTTTAAAATAGTCTTACGACCTCATCAAACATTTATTTGAACTTTGCTATCTATGCATTTATCCAAATTAATATATAGATACCATGTTAAAGTGAAACTTTTCATGTTTTCTTCAAAGATAGAACAGCCTTGGAAAGCAGATGACTTAGCTAAACCTTTTATAATAACTGTTTTCAGAGGTTTCATTTTTTCCCCTTTTTTTATTACAAGTCCTGGGCTATGTCTTTTGTCTTAATAACAGTGATTAAAAAATATTTTTAAGAATTTGCGCACTCTCCAAACATACATATATGCATACATTAAAATACTATTTATTGTATAAAATTGGTGTAAATTGACAGATTTTGTCACCTCAAATAGATGGATACTAATCTAAAGAATATAGTTCTATCCTGCTCAATCTGAGATTGTAACTGAGAAGACAATTTGCAAATACCTACCTGAATCTATTTTATTTATTCAACTGTGATTAAAAAGTGACTTTTAATGCCCTTACTCAGTTTAATTCCCTCTGTATCATTTAACATATGAATGCAACTTTTAACAAAACAAGTGTGGCTTTCTGTGTTTCATAAATACATGCTATATTCATTATGAAGAACAAACCAAACTTTGGAGAATAGTCCCATATTGTGTGCCTTCCAAGCTTACAGATGTTGCTTGATATATTCCTGAAGATACTGTCTTACAATATTACACGACCAATAAAGAAAGGATAAAGAGAAAAACCTTGAAATCACATGGTGGGAAGACTCAGCCCTCACTCTTCTCTGTAGCTTTCCCATCAGGAAGAGCAGAAGTGAATTGTCAGGTTCTCAGGTGGTAATGAATACCATGTTTAAAATTGACATAAATGGGGAATTCATTGAGCTTCATGTCCCAACTTTATTTACAGTCTGGTTTTTAAGAAAGTTATTTCAACCTAGCATGTATGAACTTAAATCATACTTTTCTCCCTGATAATTGTCACTTTATTCATTGTATCTTACCATACCTTTCAGATTGTATCCTTATGTCATTTACTTGCCGTGTCTGGTGACAGATTGCCTCAGATCATGAAGCTTTTTTTGCTAGTCTTGCGCCGCTTCACTCCTCACCCCTGCATTTATCTGAAATTATAATCAGTTTTTCTTCTTTGCTTTTTAGTTTAAACTCTTACTGCTTAGAGCTTGAGAAGCATCTTTCTTGCGCCTCTTTGTATTCTGTACAGTGGACTAGGAACTCTTTCTTTCGATTTCTCCTCTCTTTGATTACCAAGTCTCTTGGGCTACCAGTGGGCCTTGTCTCCCAGTTTCTATTTCCAGTTTGTGATCACTGATTCTCTATTTGGTAAGGGTCTGCCTGTGTTTTGCATATTTATAATAAGGAAGTATGCTAGTATGAAGCTCCTGGGCAAAGATGTAGAGTAATGTAGCTTATTTGGGTGGGCTCCATTTACTGCATTCCAAAAAGCAGAATTTTATGTTTTGTTGACTTAGGTGCAACTATAAATGAAGTATTTTTGTTTGTTTGTTTTTGGTATTGTAATTAATAGAGAGATTGATCCTAGTCTCTGCAGTTATTTTGGGAAGTGTGTGTGCTCTTACACTTGCTTGCTGAGTATTTGTTTTTCCAAAAGGATACAATTTATACATAGATGTTGATTTTGCTTGTAGTTTTGTGTTATTTTGTAGCCATCACTAACACATGTTCCAGTGTCCTTCTGTAATACTGGTATCCCTTGTTACAAATGAGCAGCTAGTGCTTTATTTTGATCAAAGCATATAGTGTACTGCCCTGTAGAGATGTATTACACAGTATTGACAAAATATGTTACACTAGCCAACATAGTTGACCATTTTGAGTCAAAAAAAAATTGAGCATGGATTTCTCTGTTCAGTGAAGGATGAATGTTTAAAAAGTTTAGAGCATTCTAAATTCTGTATGTGCTGGAAAGTCAATGTCTGTTGACTTTCTGAGTGGGAAATGTACAACTGGTTTTGAATATCATCTGTTTTATCAAAACAAAGGATATCAGTAGTTGGACAGATACAGAAGCTTTAGGTCTATCTGTATTTCTCTGTGACGCTAATGACTGTGATGTACGTCTGACAGTAATGTTGTGTATGTTGCATGTGATTGCTTTGAAATGATTATAGCCAACATTGTAGTTTGTTCATCATGGTGCATGTTTAACGGTCAGACTATATCTGATATTAATTCATTTGGAAATTAGGTGAATTCTCAATTCCTACATTAGTGAAGATTTAGAAATAAAAATACAAAATGTGATCAGTACTACTACATGAATTATTTAGTTTCTGCTAATTTGTAATTCTTTATTAAAAAGCAGTCTCCTTTTGAGTTTAAGTCTATCCTTATTGCGTGGAGAACTCTCATTCTGATTTCAACAAAGGAGTAAAATCATTTTATGAGCTGTTTACTTATATTGTAATATAATTATTTTTTCTTCCTTTTGCACAGATTGCCACACTGAAGGTCAAAATATTTTGTTTACTGATGGAGAATATATTAATCAGATTGCTGCTTCAAGAGATGTAAGTACTTTGAGTCATGAGTAACTGGCATAAATGAAATCCCTTTTTTTAAAAATTATTTGGTTTTTATTAGCTAGAATATAGAGCCTTAGAAGACTGATTTATGCAATGTAATGTTGTGGATATTTTATTTCTTTTAGGATGGCTTTGTTGTCAGAATATTTGCAACGAGTACTGAACCTGTGCTTCAACAAGAATTACAACTTAAACTGGCCAGAAAATGCTTACATGCCTGTGGAATCTCACTATTTGATCTGGAAAAGGACTTGCATATTATAAGTAAGATGAACAAAAAAAAAAAAAAGAGAAAAAGCCTTTTCCCCTTATTTTGGTTTCAGATTCTTTACTCTTATAGACTATCATTTTTAATCACTTTTTGGCCTTTTGGCTAAGAACAAATGTAGTATCTGTTCTTATCAGTTTATGTCTCTATGTCCTCTACCCAAGGACAATAAATTAAATGAATTTTTGGAGCAGGAGATGGAATAGGAGCTTGTTCTGTCCACTCCACACATTGACCTGGTATTGTAGTAGCTCCAGGAATGGTGTACCCCTCGTTAGGACTTAGGTTGTTTTTTTTTTTAAAACTATCATTGTGTTTTCAGCACTTCAGCTAGTATTGTAGCAGCTATTTTATGTCTGTTATTAGAACATCTAATTATTAGTTAATGCATAGAAGTAACTAGGAAATAATGGCCTTTAAAAAGAATAAGATATTGGAAAACTATGTTAAGGAAATGACTCATATCAATACTTTTCCATTACCATTTTGTACAAAGCTAAAGAAAGTAAATGTATTTAATAAGAATTACAGGTAGATACTGGTGGACATGGTTAGTTTATATGCTCCATTGTTTTTCAATTAACTTGAAAACTTATTAGTGCTACTACAACAGGTACATAGTTCTGTCATTAAAATCTTTAACTTTTACTTGAACAGATTTTCAAGATATTCTTAGAATGACATTATAGCTAATAAAATAATAATTGATCTAATAAACTGATGGATAACTTTTCATCTGAGTACAGAAATACAGACTACCATGGAGTATTTTTTGGTATTTAGTCAACTTATTTTTGCAGTATTGTACAAGTAATTGTGATTACTAGTTCCTATAAGGGTCTTCATTATTACATGCCTTGCCACTTAAGGTTTAATAGTGCTATTATTAACTTATTAACTACCTTTTTGATTGTTGTCTAATGAAATTTAGTAAGTTTGATATTTGTGCATTAACTTGAATGTTTTAAATTTTAATTAAGTAGTAGTTTTGTACTTTTTTCATAAGAAAATATATTGAATTGATAAATTTTCTACTTATAAAGTCCATAGACTGATTAGTAGTTTGTATGACTGGACAAAATCATAAAATGTGCTATATAAAATTTATAGTTACTTACAGTTTTACAATTTGAATATGTATGTTCTGTGTATATGTATGCATATGTATGTATTGAAATTTACGAAGAAGCATTATAAAATGTTATTCTGTAGAAAAAAGCAGGAAATAGAGAACCTGATATTCTCTAATCCAAATGTCTGCAAGTCATCTCTCAAGCCCAAATGACTGTATCTGGGTGAACCTTGCCAAGCTTTACATCTGTTCATTTAAACATTGGACAACACAGTTGTGAGGGTCAAAAAAGATAAGGTTCATAAACTATACCTAGTACCTAATAGATGCTTAATAAAAATTGATTCATCTATACCTTCAGGAAGTATTGCTGACACTGAATTTTTAATTTTAATTTTTTATCATGGTAAGATTATGATAACTTTAGTTTTCCTTGGAGTAGTGTGCCTTATATTACTAATTTTTTAAAATTCAAGCATATGTCACATTTTGACATCTTTGTGTGTGTTGTTTTGTTTTGTTTTGAGACACAGTCTTGCTATGTAGCCCAGACTGGCCTCAAACTCAGCCATCTTCCTCCCAAGTGCTAGGATTACAGGCATGTACCACTATGCCTGAACCTTTGTTTTTTGAATGATATTAATTGAATTGATTTAAATCACTTGAAAGAGTGTGTGTTGTACTTGGAATTATTCATATCAGAAATGCAATAGTACTTTTTCATCTTGTGGTATTGTAGGTACAGGATTTGATGAGGAATCAGCAATTCTCGGTGCAGGACGAGAGTTTGCACTAATGAAAACAGCAAATGGAAAGGTAACTTGCTCTTTTTTATTAAAATTTAACAATTATTACTCTAATGGCATAATTTGCTGGTTTATACAGTTTACACGTTTACACATAAATCATCTTTGTCTTTTTACATGGTGCAAACTTTATTCATGTTGGAAATAGTGAATCAACAGTGACATTTAAGGCCTTAAAACTTTGTAAAATATTATATTTTTACAGCCAGTTAATTTTAATTGTACTTCTTTTCGTTAGGGCCAATTCATATTTTGTGTTTATTTTGATGAATAAGATATTTACCACAAGTTCTAGTAAATGTTCAGAATATAAGTTGTGCGAAGTAGGAACATGTATAATTAATAGATGAGAGGTAGTTGGAAGTTTCTTGTCTAGCAAATGTGAAGGGAAAGTAAGATAGTCAAAGGAATTCTGAGAATTGAAATTACTAGGCAAATATATCTGTATGTAGCATATTACAACTGGGGAATTGAATTGAGAATTTATGAATTTTCTGCTAGGAGTTTAGAGTGTAATTATGAAAATAAATGTAGCTATGAAAAACTGTAAGTATCATAAGTGCATATCAATAAACTATCTTGAAGTGTGTCTTTTTTGACAAAACAGGTCAATTTCTGTGTTGCTAAAGTCATAGAATTTGAATAATATTAAAAAAAAAGAGCTTGATTTCTTGTTTTCTTTTTCAATAAAATGCAGAAACTTTTTCTTCTCCTGTGTAAAACCTGATGCACTATCCCAAAAGGCACTGTAATTCCTTTTTCTCTTTTAATATGTAAGATATATTACACGGGCAAATACCAGAGTCTTGGAATCAAACAAGGTGGTCCTTCAGCAGGAAAATGGGTTGAGCTACCAATTACAAAATCTCCAAAGATAGTACACTTCTCAGTTGGACATGATGGCTCTCACGCCCTTTTAGTTGCAGAAGATGGAAGCATATTCTTTACAGGATCTGCTAGTAAAGGAGAAGATGGAGAGTCAAGTAAGTCAACTGATCATCTGGACACTGAGTAAAAACAATGGGGAATTTGTTAACATAAAGTTTATCAGTTTCACTGACACTAACCTCACTAAGTTAATACAGAATTTTACATTGGGGCATACTCAGTAAATGCTAGCATACTGTGCATTAAAGAAATGTGATTGCTGATTTCATTCTAGAGTTAATATTCATGATTTTTTATGCATTCATCTGAGAATGTTTTGTTACTCTGTTATGTCAATTGGTATTATTCAAAAACTATTTATTCCCATATTTCAGAGTGAAAGTAAACTGTATGTAACCTTGTTTAATTAGTGTCGACTATGGGTTACTTGTTTTAGTATTCTTTCTCTGTGATAAAAATCATTGCTCAGTAATGAAAATCTAAGCAATTTCATTTCTTATATTTTCTGTTTCTCTATTCAAAGTCTTCCTCAAAGTATCGTTTCTCTCTCTCTCTCTCTCTCTCTCTCTCTCTCTCTCTCTCTCTCTCTCTTAAGTAACTTCTCATGTATTTTGCATATTGTATATTGGGATAGCATGTTACAGGGACTAATCTTTGAAATAATCACATGTAAAAATTGCATGAAAATAAAAATTACCCTGGGAAAAAACCCTTAAAATAGCCATAAAGTATATTACTATGTCTCCTAAATTCAGCACAGCCAGTTTTTTCCCTTCTTTCTTTGCTTGAGCCACCAGGTAAAATATTTACTGTACATGTGTATATGTATCATTCCATATGAAAAATAGGATGCTTTTTTAAGGTCTAGCACAATATGTTCTTATTCTAAAAGGCATGTAGGAAACAGGCTGACTGCAGGAACAGCTGGTTGATGTTCCCCATCTTTTGCTTATTTTAAGGATCTAGTTTTTGAGAACACAGGCTGCTTGAATCACCCCCATTTCAATTTATTTGCTCTTCTCCCTTCCTTACAATCTCTCATTGACTTGGTGTAGCTACTTAATAAATACATCTCAAATGAATGAGGAACTTAACTTTAGTTTCCAGGATCTCTCATGTGAATTACAGTTTGAGAGAAAAGGAGGTTATATATACATGATAATGGAATGGGGTTGATAATGTAAAAGCTAATTTAGAGAGCAAACCCCCCAAAGTTTGATGGGAAACGTGTTTCCCATTGGAAATTTCCATGTGTTACAAGGTAGTAGGATCTAACATTGATAACCTAAATATTAATTGACCAGATGAAGCTGGCAAGGTGATTCAATTGAATTGACATGTTGGGAAGCCCATGCCTTCATGAGAATAAAGTATATCATAAATATACTTTATGATATTTAAACATGCAAATAACATTTTTATTTGAGCTTTATATTCAAGCCATTATGATGATGGTGATAATTATTATTTGTACCTAGATGCATTAACTTTATTCTTTTTTTTAAGCTAAGAGCAGACGGCAATCAAAACCCTATAAACCTAAAAAAATAATTAAAATGGAAGGAAAGATTGTGGTGTATACAGCCTGCAATAATGGAAGTAGTTCTGTTATTTCTAAAGATGGAGAACTATACATGTTTGGGAAAGATGCCATTTACTCTGATAGTTCAAGTAAGTAAAACACTTAAAATCATTTGACTTTTATTCAAAGAATATTCCAGTATGAATGATTAGACATTACAAAGATATGTCTAGAAAATTAACATTTGTAGCTTGCTTTCTCTACTTTTTTTGTATTTTCTTCTAAAAATGAAGCATATGTCACCAGGAGCTCTGACCCTAGTTTCATGGAGAGTAAGTGAAACTTTGTGTTAGCTCTTTCCCTTGAAAGCTTTCCCTGCACTCAGGAGCTCATGTGGCCTGTCCCTGGGGTAATGGTAGTACGTTGTAGGAAATGATCCTCCTAACAAAGCTGTCTTCTACTTATTGCCTTGTTTATCTCCCCTGTTAGGTCTGATCAGGTTGGGATTTTCTTGTCTTACTACCTACTGTATTATATCCCTAGCGCCTAGACAGTGGCACATGGTAGGGTCTTAAGAATTAGTTGTCAAGTGACTGGGTGACTTTAAAACTAAAAATTTAAAAGGTGGATATGAAGAGTAGAATTAGTAAATAATGTTATATTTATAAACTGGAATCTCAAGATCTCATCAGGTTTTGTTGCTAGATTTTCTTTCTAGCAATTAGAAATGAGTATAATAAATGATTCATTCCACTTGAGAGGATTTTATGTGAGATAACTGTGTGATACCTTTGAATTTTTTATAAAAAACTAATAAAGCTTTTGATTGGAGTTTTAAGTGATTATCTCATCGTGGAGAACTGACACACATAGAACATTTATAGCAATTATTAAGTTGAACTGTACCCTGATAGTGATCTGGCTTAATGTGGTGACATTTAGGTTGTCATTTGGCTGCAACTGTCAGTGAACCACACTTTTGGGATAGTACATATACAGTATAAAAATGATGTCTAGTATAACTGCTACTTGCCAAACTCCTCTTGACTAAGGCTGATGAAAATTTATGCATTTATTTGGTGAGCACAAACAATACCTAAGGGTTTGATGGACCAGACAGACATGGTCCCTGCCTTTTTGAGGATCTGAGAATTGAGTATGGTAGACTTCAGGTATTTAAAATGTATGGCTTAATGGTTGTAGACAGAGTCAGATGTTGGCAACAACAATTTTAGTTGGGTAACAGTTTACTTAACCATTCAGATTCCCCACCACCACCTTTAAAAGGGAGCTTATAATACTACCTACCTCATAAAGCTATTATGATAATTATAGGAGATAATGCTTTGCTCACAGTCTAGAAGGTGTAAGGTCTCAAGTTACGTCAGCTTGTACTCTTAATAAGAAGTATTGCTAATACTAAAAGTAGGAATTTTTAAAGTGTACTTAACAAACAAAAAGGCTTAAACTAGTATAAAGGAAACAGAAGGCCACTTTAAGGAAATTATACTAGAGCTAATAATATAAAATAGCTTTCCCAGTGTGTGATGTAAGATTGATATTATTTGTAGTTTACAGGGAACAAGCACCATAATTTATGTAAGAAAGTTTTAATTTTATGTTTATTAAGAAATATTTAATAATCTCACTTTTATTACTACTTAATAAGGTTAAATATTCTTTTGTCAATTTAAAGTTGTTGCAAAATATTAAGTAGGTAATAGCATTTGGATGTGGCAAGCATAGTGAAAATAATATGTGAATAAGGGAAGTTTAGGAAGTCACTGTAGTGGATTAAAGAAGAAAGCATTGATATTGAACAGGACTGAAAAATACTATTTTGGAAACTCTGGACAGGTTTCTATAAAAGTAATGTCTTTATGGTATACTGTGGCAAAGTTTGACTTTGTTTTGCTGAGGCAGATCAAAGCAGGTAAAGATTTGTAGATTTTTTTATGGCTGCACTAGAAGTTTGAGAACTACTGACCTTCCTGAGTACTGTTGAGAGGTGTTGGCATTTGGAGCAAGCATTTAGGAGATTGAAGCTTGGGTTAGTGTTACAGTAAAGATCTGTCCTAAGTCTGAGCAACATTTTAAAATAAACTACATTAAAAATTTTAAAAATTAAATTTGGTGATGCCCTGCCAGTGTGTTGACCACTCATTTCCCATTTTGGTGAGTTATTTGCCCCAGAAATGAAAAGTTCTTTATTGAAGCAGTTCTTTTTCTAGGCCCAGAAGGGCTTTTTTGTTTTTACCAAATTTGTATCTTTCCTTTAGGTTTGGTAACTGATTTGAAGGGCCATTTTGTAACTCAGGTAGCTATGGGCAAAGCTCACACTTGTGTTTTAATGAAGAATGGAGAAGTTTGGACATTTGGTGTAAATAATAAAGGACAGTGTGGAAGAGACACTGGTGCCATGAACCAAGGAGGAAAAGGTAGGTGTTTAATTTTTGTACCATAAGAATTGTGCTATCTTTTTATTCATTTTTAAAATATAGTAAAGAAATCTTACTCTTCTTGATTTCTTACCTATGAATTGGGAATACCTCTGAAATTCTTATTTATTTGATAATAATTATTACTAAAATTATATCACTGGAAAAATCAAATATGTTTTAGATTTTTAGTTTGTGAGCAAATGATCTGGCTTGCCTATGTAGCTATTTAAATTCTACACAAAATAAGTGTTTCTTTGATTTGGCATTTTTGCTCACTCAATCTTTCCAGGGAAGTGAATTTTCCATGCTCTTTGTCATTAGCTCCTTCTGTACACACCTTTAGTTTGAACAACTTTTGGCAGCATCTATCTGGCAAAATTTATCAGCATGTGCTACTTGTGATTTAATTTGTTCCTGACAGTTCATAATGTTCTTGTGTCTCTGACCCTTTGTCAGAAAAGACTAACTTATAGATAGGACTCCTTCATAGTATGCTTTGTCCCAACCCTCCAGCTGTTGAAGGGAGGAAAGGAGTCATTCTCTGATTGCCTTGTGTTAGAGTCTTGTGTTTTTGTGTTGTTTTTGAAATAGCGTGTCTGCTTCATTTTTGCTCTCAATTTTTACTTGTAGCTGTTATCAAAATGTCTTTACACTTCACTCCAAAAACTGGCTTTCTATTTTTAAATTTGTGTGGGCTGGAGAAAAAGACAGTACACACATATCACCAGAACTAAGCATTGGACTGTGCTTAAAGTACCAACATTTTGAGAATTTAGTTCATTATTGAAACCAAGTTTTATCTCTTTTTGGGGCCTGTTTTCTGGCAGACTTCTGGATTTCAAAAAGGCATTGTTTTGTGGCTGTTGGTTTTTTGTATGGGGTTTTTGGCTTTATGTGTGTATATATGTATTTAAAGCATACCTGTTTTAGAAAGGATGATCTGTTAGAACATACTGACTTTTTAAAAGAAGAGAAATCAAACAAAAGAAATAGATTACTTCACAATCTTCTTGCTAAACTAGTGAACCATAATTTTGGATAATTCCACTAGGGCAAAGAAGAGATCATCAGTTTAGTTTTTTATTTGTAGTTTAAATGTGTACTCAAGTTATATTTTATAAGAGGTCTGAGTCATGCAAAATTATTTATTATTATTCTGAAACTGTTGTGAAAATTGGCATAACCAAAAAAATTTTTTTCCATAATAGGAATACCACTTAATCTGTTAGTAACTAATTGATTAGAAAGCATATGAGTAAAATAAGACACATGAAATTAATACATATTGTAAAGTAAAAACAAAGTGATTTTAAAGTTTTTTAATAGGAAAAGTATAGAAAATAACATTGAAATAAAAAAGTATACCATCATCTTGTTGTTTTTTCAGTAGAAAATAATTACAGCTAAGGTTTAAAGGCCCTGTATTTCCCTTCCAAGGCTTTTATTATTTTCCATTTCTTTCCAGCAGTAACAACTAACAACAGGACTTTAATAAGTATGCTTTCAGCCATGTTCTTATATTTTAATTTACTCTTATATATTTGTATGTAAGATATATTGTGCACTTATATCATACCCAGAAAATATAAAACTTTAGTGTTTTGTAAGTATAAATCTATTAGTCATATTTGTCTGCAAATTTTTTGGACTTACCACTGTATTGGAAATATGTCAATGATAGTACATTTAAATCTAAATGACTAGTGCTAACAGGTATATATTAAATAAAAAGATGTGTTTGACAGTAGCAGTAGCCTTTCTTACCTTCTTTTGCTAAAAGCAAGTGAGTAGAACATTTATTAGTGGTCCCTAAATTACTTTGTTAAATTTTAAAATTCTTTTGCATGATGATTTGGATTAGCAAGGTGTCATATAATTTTTAAATGGGTAATACACATTTTCCATACATGACAATAAATCACATAAAAATTATAAATTGATTTGTCAAATAGGGTTTGGAGTTGAAAATATGGCAACAGCAATGGATGAGGACCTGGAAGAAGAACTAGATGAAAAAGATGAGAAGTCCATGATGTGCCCTCCAGGCATGCATAAGTGGAAGCTGGAGCAGTGCATGGTGTGCACCGTGTGTGGAGACTGCACTGGTTATGGAGCCAGCTGTGTCAGCAGTGGGCGTCCAGACAGAGTCCCTGGAGGGTAAGACACGGATCCTGCCAAAGAAAATGTGCAGAACACATTTTTAAAAAATTGCTTCTGAATATATTCTACTGTGGGTTTTTTTTTTTTTTTCTTTTTTCGTAGTACTGAGGTTTGAATTCATGGCCTCATGCTTTTTAGGCAGGTGCTCTACCACTTGAGCCACCCCACCAGTCCTTAACTGTGTTCATTGTTAAAGATATATTAATATATACTTAGAGTTCTTTATTATTATTATTAATAATAGTTTTTTATGTCTCTGGAAATCAAACCTAAGGGCTATGCAGGTTAAGCAAATACTTTACCACTGACCTACACACCCCAGCCCTTGTAATTCTTTGCATTGTTTTCTATTATGCAGATTTCTAATTCAGCATCATATTTAAATTTGTATTTTTACATTTGACTCATTTAAACCATTAATTTCTTCAAGTCTATGCTAAAATACATATAACATAAAGTTGACCATCTTAACCATTGATAAGTGTATAGTTGCAGTTCAGTGGTAGTATTTCATATTGTTATGCAACCATCATCGCCATTCACATCAATATCTCTTTTCATCTTCCAAAACTGAAACTGTACTTATTGAATAATAACTCCCCATTCTCCTTTCTCCCCATTCCCTGACAACCACCGTTCTACTTTTGACTACTCTGAATATCTCATAAGTGTGAAACCATATAATATTGGTCTTTTTGTCACTAGCTTTTTTTATTTAGTATAATGTCCTCAGGACTTATCTTCATTGTAATATGTCAGAATTCCCTTCAGAAAAGGCTGAGTAATAGTCCATTGTACATATGTGCTACAATTTGCTTGTCCTTTCATCCACTGATGAATACTTCACTTGCTGACTCATTGTGAATAATGATGCTGTGAACTTGGGTATGACTTAGAGACCCTCACTGTAATTCTTTTGGGTATATACACAGAAGAGGAATTACTGAATCATGTGTTAATTCTATTTTTAATCTGTTGAGGAACCACTATTCCATTTCCCAACAACAGTGCCCAAGTGTTCCACTTTCTTCACATCCTCACCAATACTTGTTACTTTCTTTTTATATTCTTTCATTGGTGGTTGCTCATTTTTAAAACTATTTTTATTTGCATGCATTAATAGTACCAGGGTGTTTTATTTTGCTAATACATGTGCCCAGTGTACAGTGTTCTGATTTCTCTCATGATTATTAGCGTTGTTAAGTGTATTTTCACTTGTTTCTTGGCCAATTTGTCACTCTTCTTTGGATAATTTTCAATTCAAGTCATTTGCACATTTTAAAAAACTTTTGTATTTTTTTCATTTTTTTATTGATTGTACAAATGTGTTCCATTATGACATTTTCATACATGTATGCAATGTATTTTAAGCATGTTCTTCTTCCTTTACTCTTTCTTGTCTCCCTCCACCCAAGTAGTCCCTCTTTTACTTTCATGTTATTTTAGGTATAGATTGCACATCAGCAAACACATGAAATAATTGTCTTCTGAGTCTGGCTTATTTCACTTAACATGATGATCTCCAGTTGTATCCATTTTCCTGTAAATAATATAATTCCATCCTTTTTTATGCTTTAGCTATTTTTGAATTAGCTTATTTTTTGTCAGGAATTTTAGGAATTTTCTATATATTCTGGAGAGTAATCCTTTAACAGATACATGATTTAAAATAAATTGTGGAGAGATTCCAGGATGGCGACTAGAGGGAGGAAGCAGAAAGTGTGCTTCCTAAAGTAAACTCTTGGAGAGATGCTGGAGATACACCTGGCAGGAGAAACCACCAAGAAGAGGCAAAACTCCGACACCTCCACACCCCCAGCCTGCGCATAACATCCCCACACCTCATTAAATGGAGAAACCAGAAGGTCTCCCACGCTGCCAGATGCCAGCTCCTAACCTGCTTGGGAGACCACCAGATAATCATCATTGTTACTATTACAAGCTAGGCAATACTGATTACATAAAGGACAGAGACAGTAACAATAGCAAGGGGAATGATGGGAAGACAGAAAAAAGAGGGAAACCATTTTCCCTCCAAAAATAAATTAGTACAGGAACCAGAGGGAAATGAAGAAAACAGATACCCAGATCCAGACTCCAACAAAATGAAGATAAACTATGCCAAAGAACCCAATGAAGCCCACAAGAACAATCTGAAAGAAGAAATTCTGCAAGTAATCAATGAGAATTTTATAGAGATGATACTGGATATGGTCAACCAAAATGTATAAGACACACTTAAGAAATTCCAAGACAACAAAAATAGAGAATTTGAGAAAGCACAAGAACAAATAAAAGAAACTATAGAAGCACTATATAAACACCAAAGCACCAAAGTGAAACAAAGAACAAGATAAATAAAGAGATAAAAGAACTCAGGACGAAAATAGACAACATCAAAGAGGAAGTGACTCAGGATATGGAAAATCTCAGAAAAAAGAACGAAACAGAAATGCAAAACAAAATGGAAGGCCAATCCAGCAGAGTAGAACAAGCAGAAGACAGAATCTCAGAATTCAAAGATGAAATGGTAATTAAAGGAAAAACTGAAGAACTATTAGTTAAACAACTCAAGACCTGTGAAAAGAAAATGCAAGAACTTACTGACTCCATCAAAAGACCAAACCTGAGAATCATGGGCATTGAAGAAGAAGAGGTGCAAGCAAAAGGAATGCGTAATATATTCAACAAAATAATAACAGAAAATTTCCCAAATCTAGAGAAAGCTATGCCCATACAGATATAGGAAGCCTCCAGAACACTGAGCAGATCTGATCAAAATAGAACTACCCCATGAGATATTATCATTAAAACAACAATATTGAAGGCTGTAAGGGAGAAAAAACAAGTAACATACATAGGTAAACCCATCAAAATCACAGCAGACTTCTCAACAGAAACATTAAAAGCAAGAAGAGCTTGGGGTGAGGTCTTCCGGACACTGAATGAAAATAACTTCAACCCTAGGATACTCTACTCACCAAAACTATCATTCAAAATAGATGGAGCAATAAAAGTCTTCCATGATAAGCAGAAACTAAAAGATATATGACCATAAAACCCTACTACAAAAGATTCTTCAAGGGATTCTGCACACAGAAAGTGAAACCCAACATAACCATGAATGGGCAGGCAGTACCAAACTACAGGAAAAGAAAAAGCAAGAAAGTAGAGAGTAACGTTGATTTAGCTACACACAATCAAACCCTAACACAACTAAGACAACTAAATGACAGGAATCACCACATACCTATCAGTACTAACACTTAATGTTAACGGACTTAACTCCCTCATCAAAAGGCACCACTTGACGAAATGGATTAAAAGGGAAGATCCAACAATTTGTTGCTTACAGGAGACCCACCTCATCAATAGAAATAAACATAGGCTTAGGATGAAAGGCTGGAAGAAGATTTACCAAGCCAATGGCCCCCCAAAATAGGCAGGAGTAGCAGTACTTACCTCTGACAAAGTAGACTTCAAACCTACATTGATCTAATAAAAGAGGAAATAGACCAAAAGGAAATAACAATTATCAACCTACATGCACCCAATGTCAACGCACCCAATTTCATCAAACATACCCTGAAGGACCTAAAAGCATATATTAACTCCAACACAGTGGTTGCGGGAGACTTTAACATCCCACTATCATCAAGAGATAGGTCATCCATACAAAAAATCAGTAAAGAAATCCTAGATCTAAAACATACCATAGATCAAATGGACCTAGTTGATGTCTACAGAACATTTCATCCAACTTCTATACAATATACATTTTTCTCAGCAGCCCATAGAACCTTCTCCAAAATAGATCATATCCTAGGGCACAAAGCAAGCCTCAGCAAATATAAGAAAATAGAAATTATACCATGCATTCTATCCAATCACAATGCAATAAAACTAGAACTCAACAACAAAAACAAAGACAAAAAACATGCAAACAGCTGGAACCTGAACAACTCATTGCTTAATGAACAATGGGTCATTGATGAAATAAAAGAGGAAATTAAAAGATTCCTGGAAGTCAATGAAAATGAAAACACAGTCTACTGGAAACTATGGGACACAGCAAAGGCAGTCCTGAGAGGAAAGTTTATAGCCATGAGTGTATATATTAAAGAGACTGAAAGATCTCAAGTCAATGACCTAATGATACATCTCAAATTCCGAGAAAAGCAAGAACAAGCAAATCCCAAAACAAATAGGAGAGAAATAATAAAAATAAGAGCTGAAATCAATGAAATAGAAACGAAAAAACCATACAAAGAATTAATGAAACAAAAAGTTGGTTCTTTGAAAAAATAAACAAGATCGATAGACCCGTGGCAAACCTGACTAAAATGAGGAGAGAAAAAACCCAAATTAGTAGAATCAGGAATGCAAAAGGGGAGATAACAACAAACACCATGGAAGGCCAGGAAATCGTCAGCGACTACTTTGAGAACCTATATTCAAATAAATTTGAAAATCTAAAAGAAATGGATAGGTTTCTAGATACATATGATCATCCAAAACTGAACCAAGAGGAAATTAATCACCTGAGTAGATCTATAACACAAAATGAAATTGAAGCAGCAATCAAGAGTCTCCCCCAAAAGAAAAGTCCAGGACCTGATGGATTCTCTGCTGAATTACATCAGACCTTTAAAGAAGAACTGATACCAACCCTCCTTAAACTGTTCCACAAAATAGAAAGGGAAGGAAAACTGCCTAACACATGAACCAATAAAGAAATGGGCAACTGAACTATACAGAACTTTCTCAAAAGAAGAAATTCAAATGGCCAAAAACACATGAGACAATGCTCACCATCCCTAACCATTAAGGAAATGCAAATCAAAACCACACTAAGATTCCACCTTACCCCTGTTAGAATAGCCATCATCAAAAACACCACCAACAACAGGTGCTGGCGAGGATGTGGGGAAAAAGGAACCCTTATACACTGCTGGTGGGAATGCAAACTACTACAACCACTCTGGAAAAAAATTTGGAGGCTTAAATGTCCAAACATAGATCTGCCATATGATCCAGCAATAGCAGTCTTGGAGATATACCCTAAGGAATGC